GATTAGGTTTCCAACGCTCCAGGTATGCCAGTTTTTATTCCCCAGCCAACGGTCGGATACTTTTCTCACAGGCCTCGTATAAAACAAACCACTGTCTGGAATATTGGGTGTATAAACTTTCAACTTTTGTACTGAGAGATAAGGATCCCACTAGGTGATGAAATGTATTATCATGATCAGTGTTACAGAGGATTTTTTTTAAGAAATTAAAACTTTAAAGTTAAAGTCTATAGGAGTAGGCCATTTTCAAGTAGTGTTTGATTAATGACAGTGACCCATTCTTATGAGCTGAAACATCACAAGGTAAATAAAATAGCAAACTATATCTTCAGAATGTCCCTTTATTGGCTCAATATTTTACTATTACAGCTTCACCAGGAGCTATTTCCTACAAGTTCACTAATCAGATGAAGAATAGCATTTTGGGGTTAACAAGCTTTACCTTACCTTGAGTTAACAAACTTAACTTTACTTTAACATGGATTAACAAACTTTATCTTACTTTGTGTTAACAAACTTAACTTTACCTCATCATGGGTTAACAAACTGAGCTTTACTAAGTATTAAAAAAATCAAATTTACCTCATCATGGGTTAACAAACTGAACTTTAATAAGTATTAAGAAAGTCAACTTTACCTCACCATGATTTAACAAACTGAACTTTACTAAGTATTAAGAAAGTCAACTTTACCTCGTCATGGGTTAACAAACTGAACTTTACTAAGTATTAAGAAAGTCAACTTTACCTCACCATGGGTTAACAAACTGAACTTTACTAAGTATTAAGAAAGTCAACTTTACCTCACTATGGGTTAACAAACTGAACTTTACTAAGTATTAAGAAAGTCAACTTTACCTCACCATGGGTTAACAAACTGAACTTTACTAAGTATTAAGAAAGTCAACTTTACTTCACCATGGGTTAACAAACTGAAGTCTTTACTAAGTATTAAAAAGTCAACTTACCTACATCGTATGGGTTAACAACTAGTAGCTTTAACTAAGTATTAAGTAAAGT